GTTGTCTAAATTACATGTGATTTTGATACTAGGATTGCTTCCGCTGCATATAATAATCCATCATAGAGAACTGACATAGTCCCTGCTCTTCCAGCACAAAAGCATAATGTCCATCGCTTCAGTTTTCAAACCCAGGGTTATTCAATTGATGATTGTTGCAAGCTATTACCCCTAGTTGCCAGATCTCTCTACTTGTTTTATCCATTTAAGAAACCGTCCCATTTCAATGTTCGCGACATAATGCCAATCCCTCGTCTAGTAGCACAAGTTTTCTCCTGTTTCAACCTTCTCAGGGTATTGGCCTTGTTCCATGAATCTAACGAGATCAATTTATTTCCACTTATGATTACAAAATTATTTCATCTGAGATATCTTGCAGTTAAATGTTACGTCGATCTTCCTGCATCAATCTCAGAGCTTCAAAATTTGCAAATTCTAATTCAAGAGAAATTTCGTGCAAAGAACACTTCATTACCAAGGAAGATATGGGCGATGAAGAATTTGAGGCTTATGCATCTTGGGACTATCAGTTATTTACCAAATCCTAGAAGAAATAGTATCCGAAATAAGCATATGGGAATGCCAAATCTAGAGGAACTTTTTGGTCTGTGTTCTACAAGCTGTACAAATAAAGTCTTTTCTGGAATTCCAAATCTAAAGAGATTGATCATCCATCAAACTCCTGTAAGTACAGAGCGAAGGGACAATTACTTCATTGATATGTCCAGCTTGACAAAATTTGAAGCATTAAAGTGTTTCAACTACAATTTGCCATGCACCATCGAGAGGTTTGTTTTTCCAACATCACTTAAGAGGTTGTCTTTTGATGGCTGCTTTAGTTTTCCTTGGGCAGACATATCAACTCTTGTCATGTTGCCAAATCTTGAAGAGCTCAAACTTAAAGATTATGCAGTCAAAGGTGAAGTATGGAGATTGCGTGATGAAGACAAATTCGAAAGCTTGAAGTTGTTGGTATTTAGCGGCCTATATCTTGAGCGTTGGGAAGCTAGCAGTGATAGCTTTCCAAATCTAAAACGCCTTGTTCTGAAGAAATGCTTCTTGCTGAAAGAAATTCCAATAGATTTTGGGGAAATTTGTACTTTGGAGTCAATTGAATTACATAATTGCAGCATTGCTGCTGAGGATTCTGCAACAATAATTGAACAAGAACAAGCGGACATGGGAAATAATAGCCTTAAGGTCTCCATCCAATGCAGTCGCATGAGTAAGTTTTACATCTGTTTGAAGAACTCTTTAAATCTTCTTATTTTAATTACTCCATATCTGTTAGATTTTACCTCCTTGAAATTAAGATGACGACTTCTACTTTTTATCTTCCACATATGCAGGGGGCTGAAGCTTATTTTGAGGAGCGTTCATCTAACGCTATCTTCCCAATGCAGAACTTCTAATTTATATGTTGAGATGTAAAATATTCTTTTATGTTCTTATCAGTTGTTTAATTTTTGTTTTAGGAAGATGCATGCTTAATGCATGTCTTGCCCATTTGTGATTTAGTATTTTGTAAACGATAACTATTGATGTGCTGTAATTATTATTTTATTTTATTTTTTGTGATAGTTCGAAATGAATAAGGTTTCAAGTATAAGAACCGAAACTTTCATACTTGAACCAGTTTTCCTTAATTTGTTCAAGTGCAATACATGTGCCGTTATATCATACTATAAATCACTTATTTATTGTAATTTGAGCTCACAATAACCGTAATGTTACAATTCTTGGTATATATAGTCTACTCTCTATACCTTTCAAAGTTGCTAATCAAATACTAGTTATCCGAGAATTGGCATAGTCTAAATATACCTTTTCTCTGTTTTTTTGTTTTCACCTGAGGCGCAGTATCGCTTCAGTTGATTGTGAATCTCTTCAACTAGTTGTTTCTTAATCATATCATGATAATCCTCTGCATAAGCATCGTCCTCAGTATCTTGGATGTATTTGTGATTAAATTTTCGTAATTGCTCTGTAGTCGTTTATTTCATCAACAACAACATACCCAGTATAATTCCACAAGTGGGGTATGGGGAGGGTAGTGTGTACACAGACCTCACCCCTACCTAGCGAAGTAGAGAGGTTGTTTCCAATAGACCCTCGGCTCAAGAAAAGGCGAAAAGAGAGAAAGGAAGAAGACGACAAAGAAAGAAAGAATAAAGGGGACAAAGGACGATAAGGAAAAGGGGGAGAAAGACAACTATAGTAACAACAACAACAACAACGAAATCAGTAACAGAAAATAGCATCAAATAGTAACAAACTGGAACATACGATATATAGAGTGAACAGAAAAAAAAGGAGCTACTAATACTACTAAAAGAACGGGGAACTCTCGACTACCTACTAGTCAACTACTCTAATCTTCGACCTCCACACCCTTCTATCCTGGATCATGTCCTCAGTGAGCTGAAGTAGCGTCATATCTTGCCTAATCACCTCTCCTCAATACTTCTTCGGTCTTCCTCTATCCCTTCTTAGCCCCGCCACGACCAGCCTCTCACACCTCCTAACAAGAGCATCCGTACTCCTCTTCACGTGCCCGAACAGTCGTTTATTTCATATATTTTGGATATGTGCTAATTAACTACTCTTCGATAAGTCCTGATCTTGGATCTTGAATAATGATGTACTTTAGAATCTAAATACTTTACCTTACCACTAACTTGATAACAACATTCAAACAATTATGGTCTCGTACCTATCCTTGGTAATAGCAACAAAGAGGGTTGTTGACTTGGTAATAGCTTCCATATTTTTCTTAATCAGCAGCTCTTCAAATAATACCACTCCCACCCCAACTCGTCTTCCTTAATTATTTCTTAGTTTTTCAAAATTGTAAGGTCAAGAAATTAAATGTACTATCATTTGAAAATTTGCTTGTCTTAGAAACATAAAACATAGGATCAGATAATGCAATATGAGATTGCGACGCAAAGATATCATCTTCAATCTGTGAAAGTGTTCTGACAAAATATATATGAGAGTTAAAAGAATAAAAAGTAGCTTTGCTTAAATGAGAAGCTCTTGATTTTACCTATTCGATATTTACTATTAAAGCAACATAGCACCCCAAGATAATGCTGGGAACAAATAACTTAAGGTGATATAACAGAAGATGAAAGACTGAGAGTTAGGCAATCTACTACTGCATTCACAAGAGTTGCGTCAAGAGAAAGAAACACTAGAGCAAAAGGATGAACAACATTAACTCACTTTTTCAAATAAGTCAATCTAGCTATAGCCTACCGAGTGTAGTCAAGGAGGACTTTTGATTCCTGCTGCACTTAAGCTTTCCTCTCTTCTTCAGCAGTTTTCTGTAGAGAAAGATCTGCGACTGCAACAAGAAAACTACAATATTTTTCTCTAGTAACAATAAATAAAATCAGAAAGAAAGACGCAAAAAGAAGTTGGTTTATAAACGGGGTTACTTACCTTGTTAATTCAGTATCTCGAATAACGAATTTGCAAGGACACGCGAAGATCTCAATTCTAAACTGCTACCAAGTACCTGTTGAGAATAAACCCCTTGCCAAAATAATATTCACGGTAATAAAAGTGGAATAATAATGTAGCATCGAGATATGGTAATTAACAAGAATAAAAGAGTAACAACGCCACCAAGATTTTTACGTGGAAAACCCTTTTAATAAGGGAAAAAACCACGGGCCCGAGAGGAGC